CGGCCCATGCAGGAGCATTTAATGTGTAAGGAAGTGATTGAAGTCAGAATAGTCAGTGTATGGTGAGTAAAATCAGGATGATTAGGCGCAAAATCTTTTGACTTAAAAGACCAGGTCACCAACCATCATATCAGAGAATTAAATGCTCCTCCAAGGCCTAAGACGCAGAACCCACGATCAAGGCGGCGGCCGGGATTTATGGGGGCCACACCACCATACTTCACGTTCCCAAATGTTGTCTCGACCACCCACTATCTCTGAATCAACCTCATCATGCAGATTTTTAGCCTTACTTTCCTCTCAGGACCTCTCCTATAAATACCAGGTTCCAACTACGTTTAAAGGGTTCAACACCAAACACAAGCCTCCGACAGAGCAGATTATATTTTCCTATCATTTACCTTCTGTCATTTATCTTCCTGTAATGCACTTTCAATACCTTTACTTGCTTTCTTATGAGTAGTGACAGCTTGTAGGAAAATCCATTCATCAATATATCATACGACCCTTGATTCTTAAGGCGCCGGAGCACCATCTTCGTTACTATTTCGTTCATCTCATATATCATACTACCGTTGTTACCTAGCAACGTGACGGAGCACCACTTAAAAACCCACCATTAACACCATCATTTAACGGCCTTGTAGCTTAGGCCATGAACCTGACGGCCGAGATCAGTTCCTCTCTCGGTCACAGTCGCTCTGATTAGAAAGTCAAACTCAAACAGGCGCACAACTCATCTATCCACCTAATCGCATCATCCTCAAACGCATAGTAGACCATGCTGGCACGCCCGCGCACAACCGCATCGCACCAAAGAAGGACGACCCGTGTTGACGCAGATCCCCTCGGCCCGGAGCAACAGGCCGAGAGATTTGCGGAGATCAACATCTTTGGCAAGCCCAGTGGGACTTCACTGTCAAAACCTCATGGTGGAAACTAGGTCACAAGCAAAGCTCAAGAACTAGAGAATCAAAATGACTTATGAGACTCCTAAGTCAACCTCACCAATAATGGCTGCCGAGACCGAGCAAACGGTCAGCATCTCGGCCAGCGTTCCAATGACGACGGCCCGGATGGCCGAATCTGTACAAGAGCGATCTCAGATGGAAGATCTGATGGCTAGGCAGGCCTACAATGGAGACATCCTTTATGGCCGCAATGGATAAAATTACGTCAGATCTACGAACGTTCTTTCAAGAGTGGATGTCGATTACCTCACCCACGACGCCCCCCAGAGCTGGACAGAGAGGCCAAGATCGCGAGAGGTTTGAGCCCTACGGTGAAGGTAGCAGCCTCGGTGCTGCTAGCCGCACACTAGCGTCAAGCTATGGTCAGCATTCCCAGCCACCAACGAATAGCTTGGGGCAGCCCCAGCAGACATGGGCAAATCCCAGCCCGACCTATCCAGCGGAAACGCTGCAAGGCCAACTCCAAACAACTGTACTATTAGGGCAGAATAGCCTCACGCACTCCACTGTCCAGCAACTCGGCCATATCTATACTCTTGCCGTCCAAACGCAGGTCGGCCCAAGAAACACGACCGCGGTGTCATCACAGCAGTACGGTTAGAATGGTTTGACCGTCACACAACCGTTACAGGCGCCGATCTTCCCATTGGGCTCCCAGTTTCAGAGCAATTCGATCGTCCCGACGGCGACCCTAACGCATTCAGCTTCTCAATTTCAGCATGGTCCAACCCGACCAAATCAGATGGCCGCACCACTACGGCAGGTGGACCGAACGCACCCTGGCCAAGCCCACAATGCTTACCAAGTGCAATTCGGCTCAGTTACCACGGCCGAACCCCTTGCTCCAATAGCCCAGCAGTTGAGACCACAAAATGATGCGCAACAGGTCCAGCAGCCGTTTGCGGCCCAGCTGGAATCGCCCCCTCAGTGGCTTCGAGTCGAAGACGTTCGGCAAATGATTGAGGACGGCCTGGCTTAAAGGCGGCCGAAGGCGCCGAGGTATACCAAGTCGTACCCACCAGAGATTGACCGTACCCCTCTTCCCCGGAACTATCGGTTGCCAGAATTCGTGCTGTTTTTCGGGGATGGGCATACCTCCTCCATCGAACACATAGGCCGTTTCACGGCCCAATCCGAGGAGGCCAACTCGGATGCCCAGAAACTCCGATTGTTTGTTCATTCCCTGACCGGTGTGGCGTTCTCATGGTTTATAAACCTTTTACCGAATTCAGTAAGAGACTGGTCTGACATGGAGAGAATTTTACATGAACACTTCTACCAAACCAATCGAGAGGTAACAGTCGCCGAGTTGGCAAGGATGAGCCAGGCATCAGACGAGACACCCCGCGATTACCTGCGGTGGTTTTAGACATGCAGGAATTGGTGCCAGACTAACCTACCGGAGAGGGAGTTCGTTAAAATGGCCGAAGAAGGGCTGGAATTCGAGTACCGGAAGAAGT